AAAAAGTTGTAAAATATAATAGTTTACAATAATTATTCACATTCAAGGCTGTACATCAATACATACAACAACGTGGCCCCGAACATGAATTCAATCCAAATAATTCATATATTAGAATTTAAATAACACAGAATGAACTAGAGGCCGACAATAGCCAGCAAATAACCTTATATAAGAATAAAAATACAAAAGTGTATATCCTAGTATCATTGCATTATTTGTTTCCATAAGTTTGTTTTTTTTTTTTTTTTTTTAATTTTTGCTTTGCCTGTACATCACAGTTACTGCTACAGACCAGGTAGAGGACATTACACACGGTGCAACTGACTGCCACCAACCTGAAGGACAGCAACATACTATCCATTCAACTTATGGTATGTGGTTGGAACTGCTGCTGCAGCTCCAAACACTGCAGCAGTTAAATTTGTCAACATCCAATCAAACTATGGTCAAAAGAGAGGCTTTCAGCCAGATGTTAGACTATAGTGGGCTACAAGGGTTTAAAAAAAAAAAAAATTTTTTTTTTTTTTTTTTTTTTTGCCTTTTGTAAAAAGTTCTCTATACAGTTTGGTGTTTCTTCACATTGAAGAAAAGAATTACAGGGAAAATTCAGGTATTCACACTGGCTCATTCATTTACCTGCCATGGCCATCTCTGCAACAAATAAAAATGCTCTTTGCTGGAAAACAGTTTCCTTCCCAGAACGGTTCTCCACAGGCAGCCTAATTTACAACCTTGCAGTTTTGGGCTAGAAGCCAATGCCTCTCAGAGGCTCTGAAAATGGCTACAGCCCTGATTCAGGGGTTCTTGCCATACACTCTGCCCAAGAAGAAAGAGTCACACCCACTTGAGTCACCATCAGTTCATTCTGGGTTTTCAGTGAAACAAAATGGAAAAAAGCAAAAAAACATCTGTCAGGACACAGTACCTTCACCATATTCTCACAGAAGTGGTGGCCTCTCAAGTCACAGCAGTGAGCACCCTGCGTCTGTAATTCAGCCAGAGGAGGAACTGTGGTGCACCAGAGGTGGGCAGGAGACCCAATTCTGTACAATTCAGCCCTGAGCTCTGGTAGTCAAGTGGCACTGAGCATGGTGGTCAGAAAACCCTCTTGTACATGTTTCTCCTCAGAATCAATGGAACTCAGTAAATGTGGAGAAATAAAAACACAAACAAATTTGAATGGTCTGGACTTGAAGACCACTGGGCAACCTGCAGCACTGTGGGCAGGGAGAACACCTCACACTCATACCACCTCAGATCCACACTGCACAACGAAAGGCCTAGACATTGTGTTGTCCTGAACTGCTAAGAACTTCTGTTGAGGAGTGGAGGGACACACAAATGCACTCTTGTAAAACACAATCGTCTATACGGTTTCTTCTACAAATAGAGCCTTGCTCTGCTAGTGATCCCAAATGGTGTAATCTATAAACTTAAGTACAAATCACCCACTAAGCACGTGGCAAGGTCAGTTCAACTTTTTTTTTTTTATCTCTGCTGACTATGCAGAAGCAGATTCAGTACCATTGTGGACACAAAGTAAAAGATTTCTTAAAACATCACCAAGCACTTGGAAGCCATAGCAGCAGGAATGGAAGAGAACTAACATGCAAGCATGACCAGATTATTGCAATGAAAATAAGGAAATTAGCTCCTGGAAAAATCAGTCTCAAATGGATCTGCAGGAATGACATCATTTTAGCATTAACAAAAGAAAAGAGAGCAGTCATATTCATCATTCTTTGGAACACACAGCTTAGCAAAAACTGATTTGCTCAGAATCTGTAGAACACCAGGAAGGAGCCTGTTACTGAAACTCTGAGCATCTGAGCAACAAGACCAAGAGGGAGGAATATCTGAGTGAAATGATCAAACTCTTTAACCCTAAAATACCATTTGCTGGTATCTAAGGGGAAAAGATCAGAGTCAAATATAGAAAGATTTATAAGGACATTCATCACAGCATTATTTAAACAGTGAAAAACCAGAAATCACCTAAGTCTTTTACAATAGGGAAATAGATAAAACTATCATAAAAATTTATGACCATTAGACTCTACAATCATTAAAACATGCTTTTGAAGAACTGCTCATGACATGGGAAAGTACTTCAGATAAAATATCAAATGAAAAAGATGGATACAAAATAATGTACACTGTATGTTCCCAATTTAGTTTGAAAAGCAAATCAATGGAAGAGGGGACAGAATCTAGATCAAAATGCTCACAGTGGACTCTGGGTGGAGAGCCTAGTTGATTTTTTTCAGAAAGAAACCACTACTTTTAAGAAAGCACAGAATCACCTGGAGCTCTCTGGCTGGTGTGTGTGGATGTATGCCACAGGGCTGAGTCCTTCCAGCATGGACCACAAATACCAGAGCAGACTGAGAGCACTGGAGCAGGTGAAGTCCCTGTTTACTTTGGACTGACAACATAAGCCAACTTCTTAAAGCAAATTTCTAACAAGCCTCTAGGAAGTTAAGGTTGAGAATGGTAGACACACCACAGTGCCACTCCCTAGGGTAGAGAGGCTTAAGCTCTACACAGGGATGCCTGCTGCCCTGGCTGGCATCAGAGGAAAAAGGGTGCAAACAACCCATCTATACCTAGCACCTTCTGCATCCCCAGGGAGGCAGGGCACAGTGGGCTATCTGAGCCATGGCCACCAGTCTGCTACCCTCTGGGCTGGGAGAAGCCATAGAAAGGCATTTACATTTGTCCTTACTGGTCCTTAGTGGGACCCATGGCTCCTGGATCTATTAAACAGGAGGGCACTACTTTCTAACCTGGGCTAGAACCAACTTCTGTCTCCACAAACGCATGTCTACATGTACCCTGAAACCCACAGTACCTGCATGCTAGGTGACAGCTTGAGGGTGACTGGAAAAGCTAGACTAACATAAGTCAGGGCTAAAGAAGAATGTGCACGGCCCTTAAACAAAAAAGCAGCAAGGAAAAAAAGGGACAGCAAGTGAGGACCAAGGGGAACAGGGAACGGTATGGCATTTGTCTTGGCCCTCAGCCATGTGGTGGAGGAGGTTGGGATGGTGTTTATTGGTGAAGCCCAGGAGGTAGTGGTGCTCTCCAGAGGGCGCAGATAAAAGAAGACTTCTATTCTACTTCTTTATTCTAATTGGCCAGGTTCTCTTATTCAGCCGAGTCTTAGCCCTACTTGTTCCACTGTACCAGATTGCCCCAAGAGACCCCTTCTCTGCATGTGTGTGCACAGGCAGGAGAGTCAGGGAGCTACCCCTGCAGACACAGGACATTCTGAAGAGGTCAAAATAGCAACAAGGGGAGTGAGTCTGTAGGGAATTTCAAGAAAAAAAAGCCAAGTGAGACTCACCTAACACAAGCAAGCCTTCTAAAGGCTGAGAGGAGACCTGGTCTGTTCCCCGCTCTCTGAGGATCCCCAAGGACAGGTGAGAACCTGACACATGCTCACTCACACACAGCTCTCACAGAAATGACTGTCAAGGCCTGGGGAATACCTCTGTGTTCCAGTCTAGCACTAGCGCAGCCCCACATTTGCACTTCCTCAGTTTAAAAAGAACCACTCTTATCATTAAAACAGTTTGGGAAAGAAAACTTTCTTCTCAGTTTGGACTGGCCTGGCATACCAGGTGATAGGTGTAAAGAGTATATTTTCTGTGGGCCTTTTGCTGGTGCCTTTATGAAGGTCTACAGAAATGGCAAAGTTGTTCCTGCCTTGGGGACATGGGAGTCAGATGGTGTCTGTGAGCAGACTGCAAAGGCAGATGCCTGCTCTTCTTCCTCAGGGACTGAAAGCCACCCTTCAGGGACAATCAAGGCAAGGACAGGCACATTTGAGACCTTTTGGAGCACTCTGCCTGGAAGCAGCAAAGCAAAGCAAGGAACTGGTACATTCTGGTCTCTAACACAAAGCAAAGCACTGCTATGGAAGCGAAAAAGGAAAGTCGCCTTAAAACTGGCAGAAGACACCAGATCAAACAGACTCAGGCTTCAGTGGGCTATTCTAATGTCCCAGGCAACAGTAAATAACACTTTTTTCTAAACTCCACCCTCATTGGCCAAGTGACCAGGCAGTGCGGGAAGAAGGCTTTTAGATTTCCAACACAGAAATGTAAAAACTGAGCTATCTTTGAGAAGTGTTTAGCCACAACATGAACAAGGGCACGTAAGGCTGGGCAGGAGACTGAAGCACCCTGGGACTGCTGACACTAGGATTCTCTCAAGCCTGACCTTACTAGTAGCCTGTACATTTAAAACTTTCCAGAGATTCGCAGGAAGGCCTGAGGATTCTGTGGTACCTCCTGACCTTGCCAAGTACAGGACAGGGTTCTGTGTATCTGGCAAAAACTCAGCTGGGTGCTAACCTGGTTTCTATCTGACAATGCCCCTCCCAAGCATGTGCTTGGCTTGGCATCCAGCCCCACTGAAGGACACTGCTAGGAGGTGGGACTTGGGAGCTGAGACCCAGGAGGGCTCCTTGTAACTGCAGCAGCCTGCTCTGCATGTCATCTCCACAGTCTTGCCTACTCTTCACCTCTCWATCTGCCTGCCAGACAGTAGGAACCACAGAAATCCTGTCACCAGAGCCACAACAGGAGACACAAAGGGCCAGGCCACACCTCCAGGGCCATGCATGAGGAACATAAGGTAGGGAGCACACTCACAAAGCTAAGAACCCTGTCTGTAGTACATGCAGTACGGTGCACAGAGGTTCCCTGGTGAAGGGCTCCGTGACAGTGGGGTTGGGCAGAAAGAGCCAGTCCCTGGGCCACAGTAGGAGTGGTGCGTGGCAGGCACATGGTTCTGATGGATGCTAGGAGGGGCTGGTGACACCAAGTCTAGCCACTGGTCTGGGCAGGAGCTGGGCTGCCGTGCAAGGGGCTAGGTCTTCACGGCCCCAAGAGCACATGGAAGCCTCCACAAAGCACAGAGAGCAAGCAAAGCGACCCTGAATTCCTGTTTGTTACTGGTTTTGTTCTTTGTGTGGTTGGGTATTTTTTTTCTTTTCTTTTAAATAAAAAAGCTGGAAGGTTTCCGCTGTCCACATTCTCCTTGAGATGGCTGGCAGGTGGTCTGGAAGTGTCCCGGGTGGCGGCCGAGCCGCGCTGGGGCAGGTATCCTGGCAGCGAAGGGCAGCTCGGCCGCAGGCTACGTCACTGCACAGCAGCATCTGGGTGGCTCTGGTATCGCTGCCTCCAAACCTCCTGGATCTTTCTGCACCACTTGTGAGCATTCCCACTTGGATCCATCAGGTAATATGTCCTGTTAGGCTGCAAAGACAGAGTACCTGATGTTCTCCAGGGAGTCCCACCCAGCCTCCATCCCGTCCTGTGTCCTGCTGCTAGTGCTACAAGTGCCTTGGAGAAGCCTGTGAGCACAGGAGGCTTCTTCTTTCCACATATGCAGAAATTAAATATGCAGGCAAGTGACCACCCCAAGTTGAAAAAAAAGCCCTGGGTGTCTCCCAGCCCAATTCAGGGCTGAGCAGCTAATGCAGATTCTCAGGGAGATGGGAAAGTGCCATGGTCCCAGCTGCTCCCTTGACCAAAACGAGGGATGCTGTCAGCGGAAGCACTGAGGTCTATGACAATACTGCCAGTAAGAGTTCTTAGGAACAGACTCACCGTGTGAACAAAGAAAGTTTTAAAATTCTTGGCTTCTGGTCGGAGTTCTTGTGACCATGGAATTTCACCTTTTAGAACTTTGTTGACAGGATCAACATAATATAGATGTGGCCCTTCTGTAAGCAGCAGCTGTCGTCGTCGTGCAAATAAACCCTGATACAAACAAACAAACAACCCTATCATCAAGATTCACAGGTGAGTGTGGACAACATGCACTGCTACCTCAGAGGGAACTCACCTAAAGTAGCTCAGTGCACAGGGATCATGCCAGCTACCTCTCCACTGAGCTAGGACACCTTGTACCCCACCTAGACCCTGCTGCTGAGCTCACACAGATGGGCCATTGACCACCGTCCCACTGTCCCCTGGCCTGTCTAAGTCACAGAAGCCCACTCTGGGCAGGCCAGGTCAAATACAGCCCACCTGCATGGAGAATTTCACTGGGTGGAAGCTGCACAGGTAGGAAGGGCAGTTAAGAGTCATGCTTAGAATGGTTGAAGAGTCTGGTATTTTCTGACACAATCTGCTTAATCCATAAAACATAATACTGATGAAATATTAGACCACCTGCTAGGGTACTAGACATGGACTCCACAGGACAGACACCTTGAAATGGGAAGCCAGGTTCCAGAGCCAGAGCTGAAGCTGGCTTTCCACCTGCCCTTTGCTGACTCCCTGTGGGAGTTCCAACTTTTTGGAACTCAGCAGGGTTCCAACTGTTTCCCTGAGGGCTTAAATCTTCCTGGACTATTAAATCTAGAGATTTCTTTATAGAGTGCCAGGATGAAGAACACTATGTCAACACATCATGGCAGGAGCCCAAGAAAGGAGAGCTAAGCCAAACTAGCAGTGGGAGGAAGTCACCTATGAAGACAAAAATCAGCAGGAGTCTGACTCACCTTTCGCTTATCCACTGGACCCATTTTTAGTATTAGATTATTTTCTACAAATTGGTGCCTATAAAAAAAAAAAAGAAGAAGAAGAAAACAAGAATAAGACACTCACAGAAACTCCCCAGACTCCTTCTTTCAGACAAACCCCACAGGACCTCTGGGATTCTGCACTATCAAGACTGTCACCTGCAGATCCAGCCAGGCTTCAGATACAGGAGACAACTCCTAATGCGACACATGGGACATTTCACCTATGTCTGGACCAAAGTCCTATAGTCACTTCTTGGCTGGGGTATCTACGCAGCAGAGAACAGGTAGAGGGGATGGTACCCTGAACCCAGAGGCAACACATAGCAAATGCAGGAGGCCCTGGGTTCAATCCCTAGTACACATGTGCACCCACCCCCCAACACAAACCTATGGTGAGAGAAGAGGTAAATAATCCATTCAGGATGAGATTGTGATAATTAAGCTACTTCCCATGCCAGGATTCCCCAGTTCAGGGTGTACAATCTAGAGTGCTTTAAGATCACAAATTCTTGAAAGACCCAACTTRGACCTGGTTTAAGAATGTCTTGACATAAGCACAGACATGGTGTGTCCTTGGACTAGAGAGTGGGACATCTGGCTTCTGAGTGGGAACCTGCTTTTTGGTAGCAATGAAAGAATGAATTAAAAATGAGTGATGTTGGGGCTCAGGCTATTTAGCTCAGTGGTAGAGCCTGTGTCTAGCACATGAGGCCCCGAGTTTGATCCTGAACACCACGTAAAAATAAATAAAGGTATTGTGCCCATCTACAACTGAAAATTTTAAAAAGAGTGATGCTGAGAAAGGCAAAGAGTTTTGTTCACAAGTATGCCCCCATGCCACACCATGGAAAAGGGAGGCAAGCACACAACTGGGCCAAATCTCCATGGACTGTTTGGGCGGAAGACAGGTCAGGCTGCTGGATTCTCTCACACACATGCCAACAAGAACAAAGGCAGCACCTGGGGAGAGAATACACTGATGCGGAGTATTTGGAGAATCCCCCCAAATACATCCCTGAAACAAAAAATGATCTTCCCTGGCATTAAGAAGGGAGAAAGGGTAGGCTTAATAGCTTATCTCAAAAAAGGTACTAATGAATAATAGCCACTGCCTTATTTATTACCAAAAATAAATGTCTTGTGGCTTTTTTATGTGCACCATAATTTAATTGATGTGACACACCAGATTCTTATCAGGAATGACTGACAAAATTATTTTTCTTGATTTAAGTAAAAATAACTTGTAGTTAAATCAATATTTTGGCTATAATCCCACTTCAGTAAATTGTATCATTGTTTCCCCTTTTTAAAGTTATGCCTGGACTTAATAAGTAATATTCAGTATTATGCAAAAATGGTGAATTCCATCTCGAAACTTGTTTTATATTTGGATTTATATAAGTGATTATGTGAATATGCTTAAATATAGGGGGAAATCTCCTTTCACTCTCTCAGAACCAAGCATGATTCACATGTGTTTCAATTTGTGTTCATTAGCTTATTAAAGGCAATGGCTAAAGATAAGGTAGCAGTGTCTACTTTATATTTTTGTTGATCATGTCAATTTAATTAGAATCCCAGGTATCTAAAATGCTGTTTTTTCTTTATGGAAAGGCCTTTTAGTATGGTTCATGTATTATATTAAATAAAGAATATTTAACACTTCTTTAAAAAAAAAAAAAAAGAATGTCTTTTCTGGGATAGGGCAGAGTATAAACTCAGCAGGCACTAGCCCCGGGTCTGACCCCAGCACCTGGAGGGGGGATATCTTTTCTGGAATCCCTATCATACTAATATAATACATCCCTTTAAATGTGGCAAATCTGGAAAACAAAGTTTCAAGTACAGGCTTTGTTATAATACCCATCAGCAGCAAGTACAACACTTCACTTTGCCTCCTAAAAGCATAAGAGATCATTTAAAAAATATTTTTTTAGTTGTCAATGAACCTTTATATCGCTTATTTATATGCAGTGCTAAGAATTGAACCCAGTGCCTCACACATGCTAGGCAAGTGCTCTACCACTAAGTTATAACCCCAGCCCAAGAGGTCATCTTAATGTCTATAGGTTACCTCACTTGTTAAAGCTAATAGCTACTGATTTATATATTACACCACCCCCCTACCCCCATGCAGTGATGGGGATGGAACCCAGGGCCTGTGCATGCCAGGCAAGTGATCAACCATTGAACTATTCCCCCAGCCCTATATCTAGCTGATTCCACTGAAATCCCTAATCTGAGGTTCTCCTGTAGAATACTGTTTTTATATTTGAAAAAGGCCTAAGACAACCATGTAAGTACCTGGGCAACTTACCAAGGGGCCAGAGCACTTGTAAGAAGAAGAGCTGAACTGGAAAAACCCAATTCTCCCATCAAACTCTACTATCCCCACAGCCTGATCCATTCTGGCCTGTCTAGGCCAAGTCTTGGCCAAAGGCACTCTGTAGGCTTTGAGAACCAGAGGCAATACAAGGAAATGGAGGTGGTCCTGGGTTCAATCCTTAGTGCACCTGTGCATGTGTGCGTGCGCATGCATGTATGTACACACACACACACACACACACACACACACACACACACACACGGTGAGAGAAGAGGCAAAGAATCCCCTAAAAGGCCTGATGCATAAGCAAGGAAAAAGGAGGCCTCATGGTGCCATCTTGTCCTTGGCTCTCACAGTGCATGAGAAAGTAAGTCTGAAAGATTAAACCAGACAAGGGGAGTACCAGAAGATGATGAGGGAAATTCTTCAAGCTATGCGGGAGGAGTTGCCTTCCAAGCCCAAAGTAAGAGTCACCAAACACAAAACCACAGCCTGGACTACATGAGAACAAAAACAACTCTAACCACAAAACAACCAGGATAACAGGCTGTGGAAGGGACAACACCTGTGCTCCACAGAGCCAACACCAAGCGCCGCAAGAGGCCACCAGTCTCAGCAGAAAAGTGAACAAAGCACCCAAATTGGAAGCTCCCCAAAAGAACGAGGTAATACAAAAACATTTTCAGTAGTCTTTAATAAAGAAATGGGATTGAGCATCCTTTGTACCATTCTTCTGGGACCACTGGGGTTGCAGGGGGATACAATTGTACTCATGCAGCACTAATGGCCTGAAATGAGGCCATGCTGGAAAAGCAATTTAGAAATGCATATCAGGAAGTAATCCCACTTTAGAAATCTAGCCTTAGAAGGAAAAGGAAAAGGAAAAGGAGGACAGAGAGGTCCAGAGCATTATCATTCAGAGAGAAAGTGAAGCCTGTGATAACTTAGCAGCAGAACATGTAGGCACCACAGGAAGTAGTGCCACTCACTCCTGTGCAAATGTGGAACCCCTACCTTGCTGAGGCCCACGAGTCAGAGAGTACAGGGGGCAAACAGAGGCCAAGAAAACTCCATTATTAGCAGTTATATCACAGTGTACTAGCTTAGTTAGCCAATGAGCTTACAAGTAACTTATTTATCTACTTTGAAAGTTTAAGTACTTTAGCCAGGTGTAGTGGTGCATGCCTGTAATCCCAGCAACTCAGGAAGGCTAAGGCAGGAGGATCAAAATTTTGAGGTCAGAACCAGCGACTTAAAAAAAAAGAACTGGGAAAGTAGCTTGGTAGTAAAGTGCCCCTAGATTCAATCCCCAGTACCCCAAAAGAAAGGAAAAAATACTTCCAAGGAAGAAATATATATATATATTTTTAAGTTGCAGATAGACACAATATCTTTATTTATTTTTATGTGGTGCTGAGGACCGAACCCAGGGCCTCACGTGTGTGAGCAAGCGCTCTACCACTGAGCTACAATCCCAGCCCAGAAGGAATCATTTTGATTTTTTACTTCAGAGTCAATTTCCACTCCTGAAGAAACCTCCTGCTCCTCCAAGTGTACTTCTTCTCCCTGGCAGGTTGTAGAAGCCATTTGAAGACTTCGAGCCAAAACCAAACCTCAATCAGAGATACAGCTAACTATTCAGTGGACAACCTTTCTTACACACACAGCATTTGGCTCCCCAAAACAGATGACATCTCTCAGCATCACTATATAGTGGCTGAGTATCTGATGACATCTACTTTCAACCCACAAGAGATGACAATGTAAAATCCTGCTCTTCCCCAACTCCAAAGCCTAGATTCTCTCCTCTTCCTCCCCTGTACCCCACACAGACCCCAAAGAGACCCATCTTGAAAGATCTGAGCATGAAACACCCAGAAAAACTCCATCTGGAGAGCACAGTGAGGCTGTGGGACTGGGAGTGGCTGCCCTGAATTCCAGGAAGGCTCTCTAGACCTCGATTCACTTGGGTGGGGGACCAGTGTCAATGGCTGATGGGACATCGTTTGCTCTGGAAGGTCCACCCTCTACTCTTTAGGTCTTGGACTTCAACTTGATGGAGACCCAAAAGATCTGTCTCCAGATTCTATCCACCAAACGGACTGAGAAACAAACGAAGACATTTTCAAATATTTATTTGAGTCATTAAAACAATAAATCCGTTGCATAAATAATATTTAAAAGTGACCCCCTCTGTCCCCAGAATGGTGGCACACTCCTGTGAGCCATCTACTTGGGAGGCTGACATAGAAGGATTGAAGTCTAAGGGCAGTGTGGGCAACTCAGTGAGACACTGTGCCAAAATAAAAATAATAAAGTGCTGAGGATAGGCCCCGTGTTCCATATCTAGGACTGTAGCAAAAATAGTTAATGGAATGAGAAGCATGGTTATGCATTTTAAAAATCTAATTTAGAAGGATGGAGCTGGACTCTCACATCTGTCCTTCAGGCTCCAGTATGTAAAGATGCAGCCTCATTCTGATGTACTGCTAGAAAAAGGAAGGTTTTAAGAGCCTCTTAGATAATTGTGGATACTCTTCTTTGATATTTTACTAAAACTCAAAAAGTAGTAGTTTCTTAAAGATGAACAGCATTAAGGAGCTTTCCATGCTCTGTGACTTTAACATCACCAATCTACCTCACACTTGAAATGGACCTTCTGCCATTACATGATTCTACAATAGCACACTGTGGAGTCATCTGGGAAATACTGGAGAGCTTCCAAATGGCAACAAGTATCACTCTACAATATCAATGAATTAATTCATTAGCATCACCACTAATCTCCTCAAAAGTCTTCAAGTACTGAGAAGATGTCAAACTACAATAACAACTTTCCAAAATCCTAATTTTCACTTGAACATTTCAATTTTATCATCGGTACAGATACTAGCAATTGTTTTCTTTGAAAAACAAATTATCAATAAAAATGTCATCCAAGTGCTCACATCTGCACAACTGCAGTTGGCCAATCAATCAGACTCTAGTGGTGATGGTGTTACCTGGAGAGTGTGCAAATAAGTGCTTTCCTTGAAACAGCTATCACACCTGTGTTCTAAGCAGAAGTGCCAAGGCATACTTTCCATGTCTTCACGTGGAACATCAACCAAACTCATTATTTCTAGGAATACTTGAAAGTGAGACCAGCTTCTTTTCTTTCTATGAGCATGTGGCTATGAAGAACTAATATGGCCCTGCACTGCTTGATGCCTAGGCCTCAATTGATGCCAGCAGTTGTATCCACCACAGCTTCTGCACCTCAGCACAAAGGAGCACATATTGTTCCACAACAACTATTTGAACAGGGACTCTTCCACATTTCGACTATGTCAGCACTGTCTGTGCTTACCGCCAAGAACTTCAAAACAACAGAACATCTTTGGTGAGAAGCTGAGTGGTACCAGATGAATACAAGCAAAGCAACAAGTCCTGTCCTGTGTGCACATTCATTCACAACTTGCCTTACAGGAGAAAGCAGGGATATGAATTCCCTCTTCTATGGTGCATTTCCACTGTCTTGTGGACAGTGGCAGTGTTGGCTTCCATGCAGGAAGCACAGTTGCAGCCAGGAGCCTCTGTCTCCCAGGGACTGTGTAGCCTCTGTATCCTCAGCCTAACTTTTCTGTGTGCTTCAAAGGCTTTTTAATTTCTAGTCTGGGACACTGTAAAAGTGCTTAGCTATTAAAGAGCTCAGCACATACACATTTAAAATGTTCCTTTTAAGTAGAAAATATTACCTTTAAAAATTTCTCTATCTTTAAAACTCTGAACTGTTGGTCTCAAAAAGATGTTGCAGGGCTAGGGAGATAGCCAGTGATAGGGCACTTGCCCAGTATGTACAAGGTCCCCAGTTCAATCCCCATCACCCTCCCCCCCAAAAAGTTGTAATTAATTTATATTCAGAACTATAATATTGTGCAAAGTTCTGTTCAGACAGGAAAAAAAGCAAAGCATTAAGATCTATAAAGTCATAGGAAAGCTAGCTTTTATCCCATTTTTGTTTTGTATTTACAATTTTGCCTAGTTTCACTGGTGTAGATTCCTCCTGCCACATATAAAGCTCTCTGGCATGTCAGTTTCTTTTGTTTGAAGAAGTTGCAATTGAATCCAGGGTCTTGTTCGTGCTAAGCAAGTGCTCTATCACTGAGGTACATCCCCGGCCTTTCTCCTTCTTTTTTAATAACTGACAATCAATTTATTAAAATAATTGATTTAGGCATCTGCAATGGTGATGACAACTTGGCTCCTGGCTTGAAGTTGACAGAAAAAACTTGCTTAACATTCTGGGAAGGGCTGGAAAGTCAGTGTGTTGCTGTGGATTCTCTTTTGTAAACCACTCTGTGTCTAAGAACCTTCACCATAAGGCACTTTCTAGATGATCTCAGGGTCTTAGTAGGTTTCCGAATGGCTCCTTTCACTTTGTTTTTGTTTTTTTAAAGAGAGAGACAGAGAGAGAGAGAGCGAGCGAGAGAGAGCTTTTTTTTTTAATATTTATTTTTTAGTTTTCGGTGGACACAACATCCTTGTTTGTATGTGGTGCTGAGGATCAAACCCGGGCCGCACGCATGCCAGGCAAGCGCGCTACCAGTTGAGCCACATCCACAGCCCTGCTCCTTTCACTTTGAAGGATCCTTTTCCTTTGACCTCTCAAGTCAGCATGCACCTTCTCCAGGGACTTCCTGCTGCAGCTGGTGAAGGTAACCCTAACACAATGGAGTACCACCTCTGGTTCTATGAGGTCCTTCCAGTATTTTTAAAAGCCATGGATGCCAGGTATGGTGGCACATGCCAGGAGTGGGAGGCTGAGACAGGAGGAGCCAAGGTTTGAGGACAGCCGGGGCAACTTAATGAGACCAAAATAAAATTAAGCTAGGCTTCTTTTCAGCATCTTTAGACTTGAGCAATGCTGCAGCAGTTGAGAAGGCAGGCTTCTCCTCTGTTAAGCCAATGGCTCGTACTCACATACGAAAAATACACATTTTACTTCTGGAGAAAAACATTAATATCTGAAGTAGGTTTTAGTACAATTTACAAAATCTCTTGATAAATTTGTTAATAATAGTACAAAACAAGTCAATGAAGTATACTTACTTCTTCTTGTGCTTCCATGTAGGCTCAAGGAAAACATCAGGATTTCAAAGTGATTTATTGAATGATATAAAATTACAAAGATTATAGCAGGTATAACTGAAGATTGCTAGTAAGGGTTCAGTGGAAATATTGAGAACCTATTACTCTCCAAAACTACACATATTTAAACCATAAACCTACTAACTTCAGAAAATTCTAGAAATAACAATACACATTCCATTAATTGTCAAAATAATGTCCACCCTACAGCATGGAGCCACTAAAAAAACCTCTCCTGCACACTACCAGAGACTAAGAATGAATAATTTTAATAGCATCAYACACCCAAGTCCCGGCCTTGAGCTTAGGGACTCCCCAGTCTCACTGTTCACAAGAACAAGATGCTTGAAGGATTGACCACTGTCAAATTCGAGATCCTCCAAGCTCTCTGTAGTTATCACCTTTCACAATGAGCCTGAAATCTGGAGGAAAAGGAAAGAGAACCCTAAATCCAAAGGACACAAGCAGGAGGATGCAAGCTCCCCTGTCCAGCCTGCCACTGAATCACCTAGGGTGACCCTGCCCCTGGGCAGAGATACAGACCTTTTAGGGGTCATCAGAGGAGCCAAGATGCACACACACCTGGAGAGGAGCCAGTGAAGAGCAGGTTGGCTGGAGGCCCAACATGCAAGAGCCCAGTAAGCCACCATACAGCCCAGCACACACACTTGTTCAGAGCTGTGTCCAGCACTGCTGAAGCTGTTTTTCATCAAACATTCTTTGCTCCTATCCCTAGCAATACCACTTAAGGAAAAAGTGAGTTAAAGGACAAACTTAGACTCCCTAGAATTGTAGGTTATTTCTGGGGAGTCAACATTTATACTCTTTTTCCAGAGATAATTTCTGATGATACAATATCCCATTCTTAGCTACGTGCAGCTTTTCCCTCTGCATCTCATTGGGGAAGCTTCTGAGGGCTCATCTCCTCTCTCCTCACAAGTCCCCAGTCTCATGCATCCTCTCTCCTTCTTTGCCAAAGCTTCAACTCTCCCCTTCCTATCTTCTATTTTCACCCCACCTCAACATGCCTTCCCAAGAGATGCCACCACCTTGGGTGTGTCTGCCTACATGAAAGGTAAAAGCATAAACACACTTGAGGCTGGGGTTATAGCTCAGTTGGTAGAGTACTTGCCTTGTATGCACAAGACTGTGGGTTCGATCCCCAGCACCAAAAAAAAAAAAAAAAAAGCATAAAAACACTTGAAGAAAATGCAGTTAAAAAATACTGATGCCCTTTTCAAGAGACTATGTTAGAAAACAATAAAAACATGGACAGGATGGACTTTGTGAGAATTTGCAACTTCTATACAAAACAACAGCATGGATAGACTAAAGAGATAAACTGTAGAAAAATGTTGGCTAAGTATACAAMAGAGAATATCTTTCATTATGGCTCTTAAAAGTCAATTTTAAAAAGATGCAAAATATACAAGAAAAAGCAGAGGATACAAAGCACCTCAAAAAATTTAAAAAAAAAGAAAGAAAGAAAAAGAAAAAAAGAAAAAACACAATGGCCAATGAACATGGAAAACATCTGCTTCAATACAAACAAAAATCAGGACCTTAGAAACACCCCAATGTCTCTCTATGGGCAGCATCTATTTTAGTCATAGGGACTCCACACCTACACCTGGGCCATCCAAATGCCTGGCAGAGCAAGGGAACTGTCTCCAGCCTTGCCCACTAGAACCAAGGCTCTGAGGGTCCCAACCCACTTAATAACTGACCCTGCAGCATGCTTCAGGCATGGGGAGGTGTTACCAGGCAAGATCTCCCTCCAGCCCTGCCAGCCACTCTCTGGGCTCATTGCATTTCTAGTGTTGGTTATACCTGTATTTCTTTTTTTTAGAGGTAGAGGGGAAACGAGGATTTAATGAGGTGCTTTACCCCCAGCCCCTTTTTTTTTTTTTTTTTAATTTTGAAGCAGGGTCTCACCAAGTTGCTTAGGGTCTTGATAAGTTGCTGAGGCTGCCTTGAACTTGCAATCCTCCTGCCTCAGCCTCCCAAGTCTCTAGGATTATAGGCATGCGCCACTGGCTCAGCCACTATACTATACTTCTTACCAAGGATTTCCACCAGCTTGCTTCTCCAATAATAACCTCTTCTCATCTTCAGAAAACTGCAAGTCCAGTTCAAAAGAGTTAGTGTCCAAATCGTGGATGTACTGCTCTATGTTGCTGCCTGACCTGTGGGGCAGGCCTGCATCTGCCGTAGACAGGGAGTGGGAGGAGGAAGATGAGGACACCTGCATGCAGCCAAACTGGCTCAGGAGATTGTCATACTGTGGGGAAGAAGAACAAAAGAGAAAGATGCCTTAATTTTCCTCTAGGGTCAAAGACAAAGACACATACACACACACACAGCCCACCTCTATGACCTTCTCATATCTGGTGAGCTTACACACACCACAAAGGCAGGTAGTCCATTGATCCCTTCTGGAAAGCATGTACAGATCCAATTCTCCTTCACTGGCCATTTGGCCATCTAGCCAAGGCAGGACCAAACCTCCAGGATTTCTCTTCCAATAGGAGCAAGGGACAGAGAGAGAAGCTGTGTATGCCTCAGCCTTTTATTACCAGGGAGATCGAGATCTGGGACCCTCATCTAGCCCAGCAAAAGGGTAGCAGCAACCTAAGGCCTCTTGGACCCACAAGAGAAAGAGACCAGAGGCTGTACCCTCCGGGCAAAGAACTTAATACCCAGGCGTACTCCTCTTTTGGCCCTGTGTTCTTGAGTCGGTACTACATATTTTGATTTGACTTACCATGTCTTCAATTAAAAAAAAAAAAACATATTCTTTTTATCTCAGTGAAGAGTAATTAACTTGGTATAAACAACGTTATCGGTTACTCTAAGAAACATATAAACCAGTATAGACAGAAAACAGCTATTCACAAATGATCCACATGGGCAGAGCTGTGCATCAGCTTACTCCTGAAGCCACCCCAGCTTTAGGCCCCACACCTGACTCCTGCCTTCTACCCCATAGAGGATACCTCCTGCCCTCTGCAGGCCCTACACCCAGCCTCCTCACATGCTACCCAGTGGACTTTCCTGAAAGCACCTGCTCACACAGCCCTGCAGCAGTCACAGCCTCTCCTTGCTGTCTCCATAATTGATGTAGTCTCGGTTTCTTTCTTTTTTTTTTTTTTTTTTAATAAATCTTTTCTCTTCATTTTTTTGGGGGGAGGGAGGTGTTACTGGGGATTGAACTCAGGGGTACTCAACCACTGAGCCACACATCCCCTGCCCTATTTTTTTGTATTTTATTTAGAGACAGGTCTCATTGAGTTGTTTAGCACCTCACCTTTGCTGAGGCTGGCTTTGAACTTTTTTTTTTTTAAAGAGAGAAGGGGGGGAGAGAGAGAGAGAGAGAATTTTAATATTTATTTTTTAGTTTTCGGCGGACACAACATCTTTGTTGGTATGTGGTGCTGAGGATCGAACCCGGGCCGCACGCATGCCAGGCGAGCACGCTACCGCTTGAGCCACATCCCCAGCCCCAGTCTCGGTTTCTTAAGAACTCCCTAACTCAAGGATGCCTATGCATGAAGTTTACAGAGATAACCACAAATCCCCCATCTGGGGGGCATAAGAGCCTTTGGAGCCAGCAAAGTGGCTACTACCATTTTCTCCTTTTCTGACAGAGAAACCAAGGCTCAGAAACTGGCCCTAGGATGCTGCTGGCAAAAACTGAATTTAGTACCAATGTAGCACTGACTCTCCTGTGTCTCAGAGATGACATGACCACAACACACTGGGTCATTCTTGCTTTGGAGCTCCCACACATTATCCCATGGCCAGCTCCAGAAGCACTATGCTAGTCTCCACGCCTCCTCTCAGTAGCCCAGCTTAGAGCCAGGGCCAGGGCCAAGGTGAGTCCCAGGCAGAACACACGGGAAAGGGGATTCCTGGGTGGGAGTAAGGTGCTGCCAATGGGCACCATGGAACATCCAACTCTGCTGACCCATGTGGATCCTTCTTCGCAAGAAYCCAGCCTTGGCTAGGTTCACTCCGATGTTACAGAGACCAGCAAAAAATGTCACCATCAGCAGGCTGCAGGGGATCAGTATGCCTGCTGTCCTTGTACCAACTCCAGAGTGGACACTGGACTCTTAGGTGAAGGAGTTCTATCCACAGGGAGAGAGCATCTCCAGAGTGGACTTCCCTATGCCAACACTCCCTCTGCCAAGCCTTTTCCTAGGCTCACTAGTTGTCCAAAGGTGAGCTTTGGCATGGGGAGCTCTCGCCCAGGTGCTTCCCAAGGACTTAGTGGGACAGCTAAGCAGTGGTCGCCTAAAAAAAGAGGCTTATGACGCTCAGAGCTAGAGTTTATAGTGGCAGCCAAAGCTTGTGATCAAAAATTCAGTATCTACAGCATCACAGATACAGATCTGCAGAGATACTCAGGGTGTGAAGTGCACTCATGCATGATGCTCATCACACCCTGCATGAAGAGAAGCTCCTGGGTATTCAGACTAGAGACACAAGAGCCTATATGATTCCTTCAGAGTGTGGCTGGTCCCTGGGAATAACAGGGAAGGGGCACAGAGCCCATGGGCTGAAAATTGCCTATCAGTCCCAAGTGAGACTTCTAAAGGTATGACAGGCTCAGCTGGGAAAGCTCCTGCTGACCCTGACCCTAGGGGGCAGCATCTGGCCAGCATGTAGGGAAGCAGGTAAGAGACTCTGAACTCCTGGGGCTGAGGTTTCTGGAGCTTATACAGTGGAGGCTATGGATGGCTGTGGGAAGCAGATACATAGATGCTCTTGAGTCTTGCTAAAGTCTGGGTACAAAGGGTATTTTAGGACAAAAGGGTGGATGTGCTTTACAGGAAGGGGACATAGGGAACCCTTGATGTGTTGCCAGGCAAGGTGGCACACAACCTGTAATCCCAGTGACTTGGAAGGCAGAGGCAGGAGGATCACAAGTTCGAGGCCAGTCTCAGCAACTTAGTGGGATCCTCAGCAAGTTAGGGAGACTCTATCTCAAAAATTAAAAGAACTGGGTAGATGTAGCTCAGTGGTATAGCACTCTTGGGATCAAGCCACAGTACTGGCAACATGTGATCTCTACGAGATGAAACCAGTAGTGATTGTAATTTAGCTTTGGAAGACTTTTAGACATGAGCTAGAACTCCTCAGTCAACTGAAGTGGAACTCTATGAACTTATTCTAACTGGTTAGAATAAGCCATGATGATAGAATCATACCAGAAAAATGAACGGTCAATGATAATAAACTTTTATAATACTAATTTTTATTTATTTATTTTTGTGTGGTGGTACTAGAGATTGAACCCAGGGGTGTTTTACCACTGAGCTACATCCCCCAGCCCTTTTTATTTTTTGAGATGGAGTCTCTCTAAGTTCCTCAGACTAGCCTTGAACTTGTCGTCCTCCTGCCTCAGCCCCCAGAATAGCTGGGATTACAGACATGTGCCACCACACCTAGGAGATAGTGAATTTTTAAATCATACTTAAATGTTGGGGGGTAACAATGGAAGATGATAAGAGGAGCTTGGATAAAAAAGACTGAAGGCTGGAGGTGGGCATACGATAGCTCCTTATAACTTTCTGCCCTTTTTTGCATGTTTCCCATTTTCTAGGATAAAAAGTTTTAAGAATAAGTGTACTTAAGATCTGATGTGTGTGGTTAAGCCTTGGGAGACAAGGAGCTTCAAAACCAGTGACAGAGATGTTCATAGAGCCAGGTGTTGTACCCTCATAACTGGCTCCAGTTCCTGCTGAGCATCAAGCTGCAGTGACCAGAGTCCACCCTCCATGTACATTCCTGCGAGTTCAAAGAGCAGCACTTTAAGCTTTTTTTGGAAAAATAAGCAATATTCCTGAACATCTTAGACACAATTATAATGGCACCAGGAGACCCAGTGCCAGGAGCTCAGGGATGCCTCCAGGGCACTGCTTCCCAACCCAGGGCTGGGTTCCAGTCTCACTCCTGAGGGAAAACTCCCCAGACTTTTCACAGCTGAAGATATGAGAGAAAGGAATTAGCCCACCCAGGCCTCATGGTAGCGAAGCATTTTACCACCGATAGGTTTACAACACTGGCTCATACTTCAGCCACTAATCACACAAATCAATGTCCTATAGCATGTGGGCACGGACCCTGAGTGCACAGAGGAACCATGTTCACATAGCATGACAAGCACAACTCTTCTCTGCCCAGGCTATCCCAACAGGGGTCAGCTTACATTGCCATAGCAGTCCTCGTCGTCCTCTGACATGGCTGGCAAGTAAGCTGTAAGCTTCGGAGGTGTCTGCTGGTGCAGATTCTCCCATGTGATGGACTCAAAGAATGGATGAGCTTTGAGAGGTTCGTACCCTTCCATCTCTTCACAGCCTAATCGCTTTGTGGCATCTAAAACCTTAAATGATAGTCAAGACAAGTTACTGCCTGAGTCAAAATGTAATTTTTGACCATTTTTTTTTTTTTTTTGAGCAATTCTTTCTGATTCTCAGTTACTCCTGGAAAGAGCAGAGGCAACACAGTCGACCTCCAGGCCTGCCCACTCCTTCTGTGGGGCTGTAAGGGTGGTTGAGGCCTCTCTGGGTTCCTGCCTCACTTGAGGGGCTCTGCCMAAAGACTCCCACAGATGAAAATGAATCTCCATTTCAAAACACAGTGGGCAGCAGCAAAGTACCTTTTTCAAGTTTGCAGTTAAAAGTCTTAAAATAAGAAAAAAAAAATGACCCAATTGGCTCTAATAACAGAGCAATCGGCCTGGATAACAAGTGCCGACAGATATGACCAGTGTCCTGTGCCTCTCAAAGGGCTGCAACATGAACTCCCCACTAGGGAGGGGATGTGCCCCCAGGACCTCAAGGGGTGCTAGGAAAGGAGACAGAGCAGACAGCAAAGAAGAGCTGATCCTGCTCCCCTAAAATCAAGAGAGGGAGGAAGCTCAGAGTCCAAAGCAACCAGGGCCAGGTCACTTTCAGTTTCTGGAATATAAATTGATTTACCTTTCCTAATTAAATCTGTATCTCTGTTTCATCACCTGGGTTTATCTTTAAAATCTTCATGTAGTTTACTCTAAAGTTGACATCAGCAGATGACACTTAAGTAGGATTTACAACCATCTGCCACCATAATAACTCTAGTTGCTCTAAGAGCAGTAACTTAAAATGCTATGTGATATTGAGCACATTCAAAATGATAACAGTAATTTCCTGACTTATTAAAGTCAGGGATCAGACATTTGGAAATTGAAGGGGGCTTATAATGAGATGAGATAAAGACACAACTCTATTTAGAATCCATCAACCCTGGATGTATCTTTCCAATGACACAGGATTACAGGGTCAGAGGATGCAGTGGGTGGTAGTGTAATGGGATCCCCCACCAAGAGAACATTCAGAATACTTACCAAGAGTTTTTCCACAAGGTCTCTTGCCTTAGGGAAGAATTTTTCTGGGAAGTCATATTCCAACTTAATGATCTTCTGAAATATAAGATATTCATTTCTGTTGGGGGGAAAAAAAAGCAGTCATTTGGGCAGGATTTTTGTTCACACCTCCAGTGCTGAATGACCTTTCCTAGAATGATTCAGGGTTGCCCTTATCTCTACAGACCACCCACAAGCCACCAAGCCCTGTGCACTTATAAGTCATGGTGGAAATTCCTTCCCAGCTCGGTATGGCCCCTGTTACTGCACCCCTTCCACTCTGTCAGACAGTTGGGTGTTACTGTGATGGGTTCAGAAGCCTGGGAGTCTCCTTACCCGGCTCGGAATGGTGGGAGTCCTGCCACAAGCTGGTATATTATGCATCCAAGAGCCCAAAGATCTGAACTTTAAGGTAGGGAGAAGACAAAGAAAAATGGCATTGGTATAATTTAAATGATGAGCACAGTCACTTTCCACTTCTTCCATGCCACACCAGTTTTGGGCTCCAAGGTACTCCTGTCTCTTGGGACCAGGTATGTGTGAGATATGAATTGCCCTTCTGGGGAGCTTCCCCAGGGCCATGGGCCCCAAGGCTAGCAAGTGCCACCAGCTGGGTTCAGCTGCCCTTGAAGCTTTGCCACCTCCACCAGGGGTTAACAATTTCTCCATCCACCCTAAGAGACAGCAGAGTTCACTGCCAACATCACACCATGCCAGGCTACTGCAATCAGGCTGCAGCAGTGAGAGAGTGAAGATGGATGGTCACATGGCTTCCAGGGATGATGCCAGGAACAGTCTGACAGAAGCAAACTCCTTTCAGTGCTAAGGAGCAGGCTGAAGGAGCTGGCCTCACCACTGCAGGTGGTACACTTGAGACTAACCCATTTGAGCTCACATCAGAACAGGTGTGAATGTCACATGCCACAGGGTCAAGAGGCTCATCCACAGGATACTCATAAAGGAGGCTCTGCCCTTCCTTTCTCGTACTCTGCTGTAAAAAGCCCTGCYGTTCCTTTATAAACATTTGGATTACCCATTTTCAGGGGAAAACAGCACAGTTCTAAATGTCTCTAAATTGTTTCCAGAATGTCCCCAGCTGTCAAAGATCTTAAGACTGCTGTTCATCTGCCCTCACAGCATTCCAAGTCTGTCTGGCTCTCCCACCCACTCTCAGTGTACTGTGATGACTTTACAGTATTTATTCCAAGTCCTGCCTTCCATTCCCAGCTCCCTGCAAGACTGGGTATGCACAGGGCTCACAGGCTGCTGACAGTAGCCTGGCATTCTGAAAGATGACATCATAGGACATGGGTGAAAACCACTGCTCTAGACAGTAGGCCAGCCAGAGTGACCAAGCCTGGGTGAAGGCTCTGTTCTCACCCCAGCATCACCAGCACAGCAGGCCAGGACACTTAGGTTGGTTTTAAAAATTAGAAATGTGAGTCATAACAGGATAAAGAGCATTTAAAATATTAATTTACATTAAACTTAGTAACTAGTTTACACTTGGTCTTCTTTAGTGTTTAGTTAAAATAGAGAGGGACATAAGAAAAACCAGGGAGTCAAGCACATGCCCTTCAGTGTGCAAACAGAGGGGCAGGGCAGTCAAACCTGTAGCCTCTCTGAGTCCTCTCTGGATTGTGGGAATTCATACAAAAGGGGCTCTGGGGCAGCTTCTTCCTCCTCTGTGAATTATCTCAATGTTTTGCTTTTTGTTCTGTTTTCTTTTTCTTTTTTTCCTCTTTCTTTACCTATTTCAATGTTTTATCATGAGCTTGTATTTTAGAAATTTATATGTCTTTTTAAGACAATAATAGAAGGGAACCAGTAGAAGTGGTGCATGCCTGTAATCCTAGCTGCACAGGAGGCTAAAGCAAGAGGATGGCAAGTTCAAGGCCAGCCTGGGCAACTTATCAAGACCCTATTTGAAAATTTTAAAAAATGTTAAAAGGGCGTGGATGTAGCTTAGTGACAGAGCACCCCAGAATTCAATCCCCAGCACCCCTCCATACAAAATAATAAAAGGAGGGACCCAGTATATTGGTTGTGGAAAGCGTTATATACCAAGAAGTCTTTAAACGTTCACTGTGGCTTTGTCTTTCCCACCAGATGAATGACAGGGCACCTCCCTGAATCAGAGCCCTGGTACCTTCCTCATATCCAGAGGAGGCCCAGCAGCACATAGCAGACACACCAGCACCACCTCAAGCATCCAGCAACAAAGGGACAGTTTGATGAACTACGATAAACTCATGCAACAGAAAATTACACAACTAGTAAAGAGGCTGGCAGACAATCGTAATGACATGGGAACTGTTCATCACAGAATGATGAGGATCAGGATTTGACTATGCAATGACTCCATTTGTATCAAACTACATAAACACATTTAATGTAGACACGAAAAATATACCAAGTTATTATCTGCAAGTGGGCTTGGAGACGACTTCTTCTTCTTTTTTTTTTTTTTTTTTTTTTGCAATACTGTGGCTTGAACCCAGGGCCTCCCACATGCAAGGCAAGTGCTCTGACACTGAGCTACTAACCCTAACCCTAACCTTTCTACTTTGAGACAGGGTCTCACTAATTTGTCTTGATTGGTCTCAAACTTACAATCTCCCTACCTCAGCTTCTTGAGTAGCTGGGATGATAGGAAAGTGCCACCACACTCAGCTGGAGAATCATTTTCTGAGAATTTTTAACAATTAGTAGGACCTTCCCCCTTTATTGGTATTGGCAATTGAACCCAGGGTGCTCTACCATTGAGCTACATCCCCAGTGCTTTCTACTTTTTATTACAAGACAGGATCTCACTAAATTGCTGAGACTGGCCTCAAACTTGCAATATTCTTGCTTCAGCCTCCTGAGTTTCTGGGATTATAGGCATGCACCATTGTACATGGCTAGGAATCTCCTTTCAAATATGAAAAGAATTCTCAATTATTTTTAACCCATTTATCCCACTGTCCCAGATGTTAACACCTATAAAAACAAATACAGGCCGGGCATGGTGATGCACACCTATAATCTCAGTGGCTGAGAGGCTGAGGCAGGAGGATCCCAAGTTCAAGGCCAACCTCAGCAATATAGCAAGAGGGTCAGCACCTTATAAGACCTGGTCTCAAAATAAAAGAATTAAGGGCTGGGATTGTAGCTCAGTGGTAGAGCACTTGCCTAGCATGTGTGAGGCACTGGGTTCAATTCTTAGGACTACATATAAATAAATAAAATAAAGGTCTGTCGGGGGGAGGGGGTAAAAAAAAATAAAATAAAGGTCTGTCAACCACTAAAAAATATTTTAAAATAAATTAAAAAATAAAAAGGATTGGGGGATGTAGCTTTGTAATAAAGTGCTCCTGGGTTCAATGCCTAATACCAAAAAAAAAAAAAAAAAACCACACCCAAAACTTAAATATAGTACATAACAAAAATTTATAYAACAGTATAATTATATAACACAACAATGATAGTAATATTAATGGACATCAGCTCATATTAATGTAATAATATATACACTCTAGATTATAATTTCCAACCAATCTATTTTAATACAACTGTCAATTTCATTAAAATACACAGAGAATTGAGATTTAACAGGTAAAGGAATATCCTAAGATTTAGAAAGTTAAAAGCAAAAGAAATACACAGTGATGTCTCCCTTAAAACCCTATTCCATGCCCCAGTCATTTCTTGTCTATCCCATACAGGGAACATGAGCTACATACACAAACATGCATGTATGTCCCTTCTTCACGCAGAGTGGTCTAGATGCTTGCACCCATCAGTGCTGACGAGCTTGCCACCCAGAGCAGAACTGATAGCAAGGAAAGCCAATTCTCAGACAATGATATAACACACTTGGAAGTCAGGAGGCCAYGCCTACTACCTCACACTGTGCACCCTGGCTGACGCATCCTCTGCACTATAAGAGGCTGAGCAGCATCCCTGGCCTTCACCTATTACAGGTCAAAAGCACTCTACACCCCTGTTTTGACAACCCAAACTGTCTTCAGACATGGCCAAATGTCCCCAGGGGCAGAATCACTCCCACTGGGCAGCTCTGTCTGGCCCTTGTTCAGAATTCAAAATCTCATGACTGAATGAGAAAAACCAAAATAGAGAAGCCCATTACAACTGAGATGCTCAAGTTTAATTTTTCAGAGCACCTTCAATGCAGCCATTACGTGTGTGCCATGGCACTACCCTTGAGTTTTCAAAGCTTCCAAGCTTAGAAACCAAGGGGCTTAATCAGAATCACTCATTCTCACAGGGGCAGCCCCTTGTTACCTGTCAGAGTAGGACACTGACTGTCCGTAGGAGACTGTGTGACAATGGACCCAGTAGCTGAGCCAAATCAGACACTAAAGCAGAGCTTGACTGGTCCAGGGAGGGGAGAGCCCAGCTACACCTTCATTCCACGGATCTGTTGCCTAGAACTGCTCTCCAAACCTGAGCACAGAATCTAGTGCTACCTCTCTCAGTCTTCCAAGACAGCACTTCAACTCTTCCCTATTCCAGGCCATCAGCTGCTGCTCAACTGCTCTGCAGACTGATCCTCCTACACTCTTACAAACAGAACCCTTTCCTGGACCAGCGAAAGCTCTTCTAGTATTCATGACTGAGAGCACTCACCAAGGCCCAGCTGCATCCTGCAAAAACCCTCACTGCTGTGACCACTGTGCCTGTACCAGGACTGGTAGTTCCTAGCTACAAACCTCCACTCCCCATGCCTCCTGGGCCTCTGCCCACCTCTGCAGACTCTGTGACACTAAACAGTGCACAGCTGCCACAGCTTTGTAGCACAGCAACAGTACTTTGCCACTGAGCAGTTTCCTAAAGGAACAAGAGCAAATAACTAACCAAAGATCAACAACTAACCCTGAAATATGAAATATAATGATAAAGGAGCATACATGTGTATCAAAGAAAAGCAAAATGTTAAGATTTTTTTCAAAGTATGCTTGACTTTATACTATATATAAAGGCCACCAAAGTTCCTCTTTCAAATATTAATTTCTCATGAAGAAACCTAGTAGCTAGCTACCATAGAGAGAAGAGAAACATGATTAGATAAAAGCAGATTACCTCTTACAAGCCGACTTCTCTGTGAGCAGCTCTGGAGAAACATACTGCGCTGTTCCTACAAATGAGTTGGCCCTGGCTGAGGAGAGAGAAAGAAAAGATTATATCTGGAGCTGTAATCCCCTGCCCACCAACAACTACACAGCTGGTGCATTCCCCAAGATATCATAGTACAAACACAGCAGAGAGGAGCTTGCTGCAGCTCAGTGAGGGTCACCTGGAGCAAACTGAGCTCTCTCAGGAGCCAGACTCTTTAAGCCCCACCCAAAAATGCCTGCAGGACCCCAGAACACTGTGCAATCCTCCCTGGCAACTCCCACCTGACATGATGTATGACTGTAAAAAGCATTCATGACGCACACTCATCATCCTGTCACTGCAGCAGGGCAGCATGAGAACGGGCCCTGTCTGTTGTGTTCACCGTTGGACGTGCAGCACCTAAACATATACCAATGCACAGTAGCCACAACAAACGGCTGTAGGCCAGAGACCACCCTCTTCTCAGTCACCAACAGCTCAGGCATACAGGGACTCCAAGGCCAGTAAGACTGAAAGCCTCCATTCCAGAAACTCTCCACATTTGGCTACCTTCAGTTCTAGATTACTTGAGGTTCATCCATAGTCACAGGGTTGGTACGCAGGCCCTCTGGACCCATTCATCATCAGAGACCCCAGGGTTTTAGGACCATGGGGACTCATCAGTCACAGTACAGACAGACAAAGCAGCACCACAGTTGGCCCAGCTGCCTATACACAAGGAACTGGCAGGTCTGGTCCACTCACTGCAGTTGCTACCACCTGTCCTGCTTGCAAACCAGTTCTAAGCCATCCCTCCCACCCTATGCGGCCAGGCTGAGGAAGGCCCACAGCCTCTCTGTAGGAACCCAGCTTAGTTCGTCCTTCAGTCATATAAATGGTCCTTTCAGTAAATGGTTTTCTGAAAAGACTTCTTGGCTGCATTTGTGTCCTGCCAGGACCCTGAAAGATACTATTCAAAGACACCAAGGAGGCCCAAGAGGAAAGAAAACCAAACCAAGAGTCAAAAACAAAAGAGTCCACTCAACCATGTAATGAACCCAAGAAATGTAAATTAAAACACAATAGTTTTTTTAATATTTATTTTTTAGTTGTAGTGGACACAATACCTTTGTTTTAATTATTTATTTTATGTGGTGCCGAGGATTGAACCCATGGCCTCGAACTGCTACGTGAGCACTCTACTGCTGAGCCACAACCACAGCCCCAAATTAAAACACAATAGTTTAGACCAAAAGGAAGTTTAGCAGCGTACAGGAAGGAGAATGGGAAAGAGGGAGGACAGGAGGGAAAAGGTGGGGGGGATCATGAACTGAAACTGAATTTCACGCTGTATGAGTTTGTCAGGATAAACCCAACTACTATAAAGCTCTAAAAAAAAAAAAAAGTGTTGGGCACAGTGGTGCACACCTGGAATCCCAGCAGCTCTGGAGGCTGAGGCAGGTGGATCACAAGTTCAAAAGCCAGCCTTAGCAAAATGGAGGCACAAAGCAACTCAGTGAGACCCTATCTCTAAAAAAAAAAAACCAAAAAAATAGGGCTGGTGATGTGACTCATTGCCCCTGAGTTCGGTACCTCCCTCCCAAAACAAACAAACAAACAAAAAGCAAAACAAAACAAAACAAAAACACCACAATAGCATATCAAGTTGGCAAACAGGAAAAAAAAAAAAAAAAAGAATGAAATGTATGGCATTAACAAGGATCTGAGGGAACATGCAGGACTGTTGGTGGGGCTCCAATGGTACAACTTACAAGGGGCCATTTTTCAGTAAGCATCAATCCATAAAGGAACAGGCCCATACTGAAAGACCAAAGCAAACCCTACTAAGAACAGATAGAGCTATGCTGGGTGGGAGGATGGGCATACTTTGGTAATGCTGGGAAATCCATTTGAAGGCAACCATTTCTGTCCCTAGGCAGGCAGTCCTGCCCATGCTAGAATAACAACAAGACCAAGGCAGTCATGTGAGGTCCACAGCATAGCATAAAGACAAATGGCAGCTGGCCAGGGGATCTGAAGGATGGCCAACCACAGGTGGGGATGTGGGGCCACTGCAGTGATTAAAGCCTCCCTATCCATCCCCTCTAGCTTCCCTGCCCACAATCGCTGACCCCCTCTCCTTCCTATTTGCTGAATGCAGCCTTTGCACCTGGCTGAATACAGAAAGACCTTAATAGGTCAGAACTTGGGTTTCCAGAAACAAACTCCCAGTCTGAACTTCCAAGACACCCAAACTCTTCCAAGGCTTTTGTAAAGAGGGCAAAGTCCAGGAACAGATGAGCTGCTTACTCCAAGTGGATTAAGCTRTCTTCACCAGGATGTATCTAAAGGATCCTCATGTAAGGGCAAAACCAGAATCCCTTATCAATCCCACATGCCCTTTTCAATTGCCCTGCTCCACTGCCCATCATCTGCCCTCACAAACACAGGGCATAGCCTCTGTCTAGGAGGAGAGTGCAAGATGCCCACAGCTAGGGAACCGGGGTAACCCTGCTCCCACCAACACCTTATTCTAGAAGATTTCAAGATGTTTTAGGGGAACTAACTATGCATGAAAGTAAAGAAGCCAGCACAGGAATAAATTCTGATTGTGAACTACTCCAAACAGAAGTTACTAAAATGAATCGGATATTTGTCCCTTTTCCTCTAAGAAGGAAACAACCCTGCCACCTCCTCTGCATATACAAGCAACTGTCCTGGGTTATACAACACCATAAGGACTTCTAGCAGAAATCCTTTCTAGAATAAAAGGTTTATTTCACTAATTCACAAATGCACTTAAATTTTTATATATTTTTAAGTGGCTGTAGGGCACAAGCCCTGGCAACACTATCAGATTCTGAAGAAAATCTACAAAAAGGAAGATGCACAGAGCACAGCCCAGGTACGGCTCCCATAGCTGATGGGGGACCAAAGATGTCCCAGTCCTGCTGCCCAAGATATACCATGGGCTCGTGTCATGCAGGAAGAGTCAGCACAGGCAGGACAAGGAGCTGACAGATCCCTGAACAAAAACCTGGCAGACATTTGGTTCAACTTTGTAGTGGACAATGTGTTTGTTTTTTTGTTTTGTTTTGTTTTTTGGTACTGAACCCAGGGACGCTTAACCACTGAGCCATATCCCTAGCCCTTTTTTATATTAGGGACGGTCTCGTTGAGTTGCTTAGGGCCTTGCTAAATTGCTGAGGCTGGCTTTGAATTTGCAATCCTCTTGAGCTGCTGGGATTATAGATATGCGCCACTGCGCCCAGCTAGACAATGCTTGTAGCTATGAGGTTAAATCAAGTACATGAAAACAGAATTACCAGCCAGTAATATGATTACTATTTACAAGGAACAAGTCCAACAGATCCAGGTTTAGGAGCTTTCAGAAGCACCAGGGGAATAGACTATCCTCTAAGACACTGGAGTCAGTAAGCATCTCTTCCTTGACTGGTAGGTTTGCTTTTATCCCCCCAGGGCAGTGCTTTAGGACTGACAGAGATATTCCCAATCCAGGAGGAGGCCAAACACCTCAAAAACTACAAAGCGGTTAAAGAGCACACAGAACCTGGACAAGAACCCTCCATATAAACAGCACCCAGAAAGACACAGACTCTAGCACGGGAAGCCTGCGCTGCATGGGGGAACAGGCTGGCTCCTCCTAGTAGCACCCTGCAGACAGAACTGGTCAGGAAGCTGGGTGTAATCCCCTCTAGCTCCCATGAACTAGCTGGCTGCTGGTGGAGAGGCCAGAACCACCACCATTCCCTTTTCCACCAAGAGTAGCCACAGCACTGGAGATGCTTATGTTGGAGTCTTACTTCCACCAGCACACTGGTGCTCTAAGCCTGTGGCCACCACATTCATCCCCCAGCACTTTCCTCCAATGTCTTTCTCTCACAGGGAACCCAAGCACAGAAGGAGAGGCCAGGCAGCTCTGCAAAAACTCATGGGAGGATGGGCCACAGGACACTCACAAGAACACAGCCTCCTTCCCTACACCTGGACATGCTGCCTGGTGCCCTACAGTGGGACCCCAAGAAAGGCACCATGAGTCTCTGCAGTAATGCTAAAGACCACACAATGCTACACATTTCTCAGAAGTTGTTTTCAGTTTTAAGCACAGAGCTAAGCTCTGCTGGAAACCAAACTCACACACCTTGTTTGCTCTCTGGGGTTAAAACTTTTGCTGTTCCAAAATCTGTGATCTGGATGTGCATGTCTTCATTTAACAAAATGTTTTCTGGTTTAAGGTCCCTGTAAAAGTAGATATTTATGTTTGAGATGAAATCCAACAGCAGCATTATTACATATTCTATCTTTTGATGACAACAACGCAGTGATGATGTGATGAATACTTACCATCTTTACGGATTAAAGCAAAAATACAAGCCCCAAAGTCCACACCAAATAAATATCAACTGCATACAATAAGGTCATTGTAATTATATCACTTCATAATACCATCTATCATTTTAATAAATGTTTTACTACAGCATAATCTATCATTTTTAACTCAGAAAGAGCTTATGGATACTTCCAATTTGGGAAAAGAGATCAGAAATAAGTATACACAAAAGCTACAACTGATCAAATAAAAGCACTAGTCAAGATGGTACAAGTTACTGCCTAGGCAGGAAGACACCTGGCCACTGTGATCTGGTAACTGAAGGGAGACACTCAACATGCATATTCCTCTGATTTCAACCTCTTCTCACCTGGCACCTACATCCCACCCACCACAACATAAACCCACTCTGATCTTAGAGGCCTGGGATGGTCTGGGCATCAGCAGTAGCTTGTAGGCCAAATGGCTGCTGGCCCAATCATTACACTGACCATCCCACACATATCACCCTAGGTGGCCATCAGGTTACCTGTGAATGATGCCCTTGCCGTGCAAATACTCTAGAGCAGACACGATCTCAGCTGTGTAAAATCGGGTACAAGTCTCATCAAATGAACCGATTTTGCGGATATATTTAAGCAGTTCTCCATTTTTGGCATAACTAAGGCCAAAATCTGAATATTGTACAGTTAAGGAAGAATGGTAGAAAATTTGTTGTTTTAAAACTAACCTTAACAGCCCCATAGGAACATGTTTTATTAAATGCAAACTGAAGCTACCTGGGACCCAAGACAGTCACCCTTTTTTGAGTCAGATCCAGGCCAGCTCCAAGACCAGGCACCAGCCTTGGGGCTTCTAAGAACACAATGACACAGTTCCTGGAAAAACAGACAACACGACTCAGCCCAGACTGCCCTTCTGGACATGGTCCCCAGAAGTGTCTGTAGACATATGAAAGGGAACCACTACAGATGGCTGTCATACCTACAGACCCTGGCCAGGGCACCAATGCATGTGTGGCTTCAGGTAAAAACAGAACAGCTCTGGAAGACAGGTCCTGACCAAGAACCCTGCTTAAACACACAGAGCTCTGAGTGTCATGCAAATTGTCCTGCATGTGGTTCTACTTCCATGCACAAGTGACATGCATTGTAAAAGAAGAGCCATTGGGATTACAGGCATGTACCACCATGCCCAGCACTGTATAAATTTCTCAATTCATTTGATTTATTTGTGAGACACCCACTGGGGAGACACAAGGGATAGTCTCAGCACCCCGCACCGAGACATGTTCCATCTGAATTCTCCTTCTGAGGGAAAGGAAGGCTGACAAGAACAGCTCCCATATAACTGTTTCCCCTGGAAGCACTGGACATTTGTGCCTCATACTAGAAATCTCTAGGTGTTCACCTCCCTGGCAGTCCAGAACAGAGAGACCCAACATTTACTACCTTAAGCAGTGGCTACTGGAGACCCAATGTTTACTACTGTAAGGGTGGCTTGAGTTCATGGTGCCAGGCCAGCCTTCTTGGTCTGGTTTCTGTCTGCCAAGGCATGGTCAACTCCCATCAATGAAGGAGGGAAAACACCACAACCAATGCCACCCCTGTCAGGCCCATCTCTGATCACTCACACCTCCCCAATGGGACAAGTTTTCAAAAAACCTAAAACAAAAAGCAAGTATACCTCAGTACACTGGAGAATGCAGAGGGTCTCCACCAGGGCCCCCTCACCTCACCCTGCCTACTCCCAACAAGGGAGGCTGGGGCCATGGAACTGCTAGTTCTGACTCCACCTGGGCTGCCCATAAGACTACTAGTTAGAAGCCCAGGTGTGAGACAGCCTCAGTCACATCCTGAGGAAGCAATTTGTTGCCTCTTCCAGCTTCATAGCTTAGACTTTTATCCAACCTCTCACTGGTTCCTATTTTCTGCATGAAGGACACCTCTGGTTCTCTGCTAAGCATGGGGGGAGAGGTGATCAGCAGGTCTGAACACAGCAGGTGCCCAGGATTACTGCTCAGGTTGCTAGTTCTCCATAATCACATGCCTTCCTCATCCCAAGGTGCTCTATCAGAATCCTAAGCACATTCTCCACCCTCTAGGCCAGGGCAGTTACAGGTAGGCAGAGGTGGCAGATCTCTCTCAAACACACCCTGTAAGCCCAACACAGGAACCTGGATTAGAGATCAAGCAACTGACTCAAGATCACAAAGCAAAAGGAGAGGAACCAAAGTTCAGCCCTGAGTTCTTGACTCCTCTCTGCAAGTGGGGCATCACAAGGGCAAACAGGTGTTAATCAGCCTTCACAGGAACTGGAGGAAGATAAGACTCCTCCAGCCTTCAACTATGCATGAAGAGGAAGGCCCCTCGCTGCTCAGACTTGAGTCAAGGCAGAAATGCTCTGGGTGTGGAGGGCTTTCTGCTTGGCCAGGCGATTATGCTTGCTCTCCTGGTGGCCTACACTGCATCTGGTAAAGAACCACAGTGGGCCCTGAATGGACCCACTTGCCTGTTTCCAGGCTGTAGCAAGGCGTCCACAGGCTCTGTCTACCCTCATACTGTCCTGAGGATAGGTGGACTCACTCTGAAGTCACTGCAGGTAGTGACAAGAAAATGCACTTAATCAACCACTCCCCTCTCCCACTGGAGATTATAGTTAAAGAGAGATGGTGTCACATCTGGGCACTATTTCATGCAGACAAAGTTTCATTTTCTTTTCAACACAATGTATACCAGGGATGCTGAGTGAAGCAGAAGTCCCTGAGTCTTATCCTTGTGGGAGGTGAGTGAGACCTCATGACCTTCTGGGGTTTTGGAATTTGTATTTATTTTATTTTTGTGGTCCTGGGTCTAAAGGAATTTATCTTAATCGTAAAGAATAATATGTGCAGGGCTGGAATTGTGGCTCAGTGGTAGATCATTTGCCTTGCAAGTGTGAGGCACTGGGTTCATAAAAACAAATAAAAGCATTGAGTCCATATACAACTAAGAAAAAAATTAAAAAAAAAAAAAGAATACTATGTGCATAAGCTCATGCCCATAATCCCAGCAGCTCAGGAGACTGAGGCAAGAGAATTGTAAGTTTAAGGCCAGCCTTAGAAACTTAGCAGGCCCTAAACAGCTTAGTGAGAGCCTGTCTCAAAAAATAAAAAGGAATGGGGATGTGGCTCAATGGTAAAGTGACCTGGAGTCCTCTCCACCTGCACTGCTCTAGCCAGACCCATCTGAAAACCAGACAACAAAAGCATTCTCATTTGGATTCAGAGCTGGTCCTATCACCCATGACACTAGGAGGAGACGAAGTCAAGTGATTATCGTTCTGTTCAAGCTGTCTATGGTTTGGATATGGTTTTGATGTCCCTCAAGGGTACCTGTAATTGAGACTTGGTTGCTACAGTAGCAATCCTGGAAGGTAGTGAAAATAGAGYTGTGTTAGGGACTTAGGTTACTGAACGTGAAGCAATTCCTGGGAAGTTCTCAAGAGAGGGTTTTCATAAAGGAGCAAACCCTGCTACATCCACTGTCTCTACTTTCTGGCTTGAGATTTGCTCCTTTCTCTGTACATACTCTGCCATTCACCATTCACCACATGGCTACAGCATGCACTAGGACTTTCTCCAAACAAGCTAAACAAACTGCTTTTCTTCAAAAAGCTGGCCGCCCCAGGCATTTCGTGGTGGTAATGCAAAGCTGACAGAACAAAGACTCCCAGCCAATAGGACACATCGTCCAGCAGGCTTGCAGGAAGCCAAGGCCTTAGATCTCTGGTTATATGGTAGCTAGAAACCCTCAAAAAGGGGTGCATTCTCACTGGGTCCCAGGGGACACGAGGGAGGGACCAAGGCAGCCTCAGAGGTGATAGAGACATGAACAACATGATGATGCGGCTAATGAATGTCACATAAGCAGCAGAGGTGGGGACCATAAATGATACTGGGAGACAGCAGGCTCTACCCTACATGCCACTATTCAATCAGAGCTAAAACAACCACCAAAAAAGGCCTCTCCAGGCCACARGTCTGCCACTACCAGACCACTAAAGTGATACTAAGGGAAAACCACCAGGAAGAGCCAAGTATTTCATCTCCACTTGCCTCACGGCTAAGTCTTGAACATTGCCCTAAGAAGCGCCTACCCAATAGCCAATAACTTGTATAAATGCAAATCCTGGTCAGGCCCAGGCCCAGGCCCATGTATTTGACTGCTGGGCAGCAGCTGGCTGAGCAACTATCACCCTACTGGAACAAATCTGATCCTGTACCCTCCAGGTCTCCAGGCTCCTTATTAACTGGCAATAACTTATCACAGTCTCCTCCTTCTTTGGGTGCCAGCTAGCCCACTCTGGATCTGCACATCATCCTGAGTGGGCCTCCAGAGCTCTGATGGCAGCCACCCAATAGCCCACTCAGTCCTTGAAGAGCAAGCACCAGCATATGTGTCATATGCCAACACAGTATCTGCCCCCAGCCTAGTCTCTCCTGGCTAAGTAACAGCACTATATACTCTGAGGGCAAATACCAGAAATCACCTGACTCCACTTTCTCCTGCCCAGCCCCCAACTGCCTCTAGCTCCCATTCCTCAGTATGGACTATGAGGGGTCAGAGTTGGGGYAAACCCTGTGTTCCCCAGTACAAATAGGAGAAAATCCAAAATTGGTGCCAGGTCATCATGGTTCACAGAACTSACCCACTTCCACCCACAGACTGCCTATTCCTCAGATTCACATTCTCTCCTGCCCTTGCAAGTCCACTGAACTTAGAGAGGCCCATATTTCCAGATACCTGCACATTGTGGCCTTTCTACTTTCTGTAGCTCATCCTGCTACCTGGACATCTGTGACAGCATGATACTCTGCATCTCTCCAACTCCTTCCCTGAAAGGGAGACCACCAGGACAGAGCCTTTTCCTTGTTTACCAGCACATCCCCATCTCCCTAAGCACAACAAACACTTCTAAAAGAACAAGCAAATTCAGGTAGCAGTAGAAGGAGCCAAAAGATGGTATTAAAAGTGGGAACAGAGCCAAAGCATGGTGACACACACCTATAATCCCAGGAAGCCTCCTTAGGGAGGTTTAAGGAAGGAACATCAGAAGTCCAACCCAGACAACTTAGTGAAACCCTGCCTCAAAACAAATTTTAAAGGGGCTGGCTCTGAGCTCCCCTCTGTTCAGTTCCCAGTATGACAAAAAATAATTTTTTTTTTTTTTTAAATGGAGCAGGGGGGCTGGAGTTGTGGCTCAAATAGTAGAGTACTCACCTAGCACACGCGAGGCACTGGGTTTGATCCTTAGCACCGCATAAAAATAAAATAAAGATATTGTATCCACCTAAAAAACTAAAAAATAAATATTAAAAAAAAGTGGAGCAGGGGTTTAGGAGTGTGGCTTAATGTAGAACATGTCTTTTTTTTATATTTATTTTTTAGTTGTAGTTGGACACAATACCTTTATTTGTTTTTATGTGGTGCTGAGGGGATCGAACCCAGGGCCTCGCACTTGCTAGGTGAGCGCACTACCACTAAGCTACAACGCTAGCCCTAGAGCATGTCTTAATATGCATGAGGCTCTGGATAGGATCTCTAGCACTACACCAAAAAATAAAGTAAGAACAGAATAGAGCAAAGTTTTAACAGAAGAATTGGTGTTCAGGGTACAGAAAGAGATGGAATAGAGAGAAACCAGGTATCTCACTCAGGTAAAATAGGGAGGCCAAGCCCTCAGAGGCTTGGACCAGCTTTGAGGGTGGCAAGGAGAGGGGTGGGGCCCAATAAAAAGAGAAGAGTACCTTTAGGGAGCAAGGAAAACCCACCTGCCTGGCTCACAAGTGTAGCCTGCCCCAAGATCCATACACCTGCCTCCCTGATTCCTAAATGAAAGTTTGAAAAGAGTAAAGAAAGGGCTCCCAAAGTTYAGGGAATTAAGGACAAGAGAAAATGGACAAAATGAAGACCTACTGGAGAAGTAGGTCTATTCTAGAGAGCAAAGGCACTAAAGAAAGCTGAGGGACTGAAAGCCCAAGGGAGAACTACACTCAGGACATGAGGAAGATGATTCAAGATCCTGTGGGTCACTCTCCCTGCACTTCTCAAATACCCAGAAAAGATGTCCTTTCCAAACAAATTCCACAGCCCAGGAGTCAAGGAGGCAGGCAGACACCAACAGACACTCCAGGAGCCCAAGGATACCCAAGATCACTCCTCCTCTCTTATCCTCTGCTTTATTTGAGCACGGGATTTGATATCTAACAGATACTCCACAGATGCTTGTTAGAAGGGAATACCTTTGCATTGATATCTAGCAACCCAGCAGCCAGGATTAAAATAACTAACAATCTATTAGGTAGAATGTTTACCAATAAAACCCTCAAAACTCTTTGATGGCTTCCTCAGCAGACAACCCAGCAGGGAGCCTCAGCCATGTCTGGCACTACCTACTGCCTCCAGGAATATTGGCCACCCAAGAGGTCCCATAGCAACAGGAGTGGGGAGCCACACTGTACCCTTTCCTTTTGGGGGAAGGGGTTACTCATGAGAAAAATGGGGCTGTGATTCCACAATGAGAGGGATAACTGGTATCATTTCAGATAGTGCTAACCACAAAAAGGATACACAGCTTTTCATCATCCTGAAATGTGAAGTAAAGCTTAACGAAGAAGGGGTGATCCAGGCGTGACATCACATCTCGCTCTCTGGTTACATATGGGACCTTGTTCTCTTTTATAATATGACGCTTCTCCAGAATTTTAACTTAAGGTAAGAGAGAAGTAAGTTACTACAATTAGAAAAGGTGAAAATAGTAAATACACAATTCATAAAGATAACTGGTACAAATTATACTTTTCCCAAAATTACCCACACCAGCTTCATGGTCTCTAAGACCAACAATGTTCTAGATCCTGAAATCAGCAGAAAAACCTCGGGCCCTGCCACCCAGACTGCCATGTGCATGGATGCTGCACTGTCCCCAAGTCCCAAACACATAGCTCACTGGAATTAGTACTTACTAGCATATTCTCTGGAAGTAGCCAGTTCTCGGGCCAAGACAACCTGGTTTGGGGAAAAAAAGGGGAAAAGAGAAGGAAAAGAACACACACTGTAATAACCAGGAGACAGTCTGAAGAGATACGGACTTACTCATCCCACTCGAGGTTTGAAATTACATAAATCCTTTGGGTTCTGTACTAACAAACAAAAGTACAAAGCCACTGCTAATGTAAATGTGTTTTAACAGTTAAGAAAAAACATATCTCTCCACTGTTTTCAGAAGGCTCAGCTGCTACTGGTCCTCATAGTGCCGTGAAAGTATAAATTCAAGAACCTTATAGGAAAGTACAGTGGCACAAGCCTATATCCCAGCAGCTCAAAAGGCTGAGGCAGGAGGATCACAAATCCAAAACCAGTCTCAGCAACTCAGTGAGGCCCTAAGACACTTAGTGAGACCCTGTCTCTAAATAAAATACAAGAAAGAACTGGGGATGTGGCTTGTTGCTTAAATGCCCCTAGGGTTCAATCCCAGGTATCAAAAAAAAAAAAAAAAAGAACCTTGTAGCTGGGCACATCAGTGCACACCTGTAATCTCTAGCTACTAAGGAGGCTGAGGCAAGAGAATCACAAGCAAGTTAACTTAGTGAAACCCTATCACAAAATAAATTTTTAAAAAATTTCAGTGGTAGAGCCCTTGTCTAGCAAGCACCAGACCCAGACCCTGGATTCAATCCCCAATACTGATAGCAGTTGGGGGGGACAACCTCATAGACTAACATATCCAAATACCACAAGTGGGTCCTTGGAATTTCTTCAAAAAATAACTTTAAGAACATGCCCTTAAAAAAAAAAAAAAAAAAAAAGACGACACCCTTCCAGGGCTGGGGCTGTAGTTCAGTAGCAAAGTGCTTCCCTAGCATGTGTGAGGCATTGGGTTCAATCCTCAGCACCACATAAAATATTATGTGTCCATCTAAAACTAAAAAAAAAAAAAAATTAAAAAAAGAACATATCCTTCTGGTATATGCACAATGCAAAAAGATGCCCTAAACTTAGATTTTAAAATAATTGCTAATAATTTCTACCACACATTTCATCAGATGATGCAAATATGACTACAGCTATAAGGGCACAGGGAAGTAAACCAGCACAGGAGTAAGCTACCTTCTCAGGACACTGCCACCTCAGAAGCACAACTGACCCTGTGGTTCAAACTCCACTTCAGGGGCAAAGTGCCCAGTGTGGCATCCCCAAGTGTGGATGTGGAAAGACTGAATAAACCCTGGCCACACTTGAGGCACCAAAGTGGAAGTAGCTGATGGGCCCAAGGTTTGGCCAGAGTTTGCCAAGACAGCTTTGCCACAGTAGATCCCACCACAGCCTATGGGTGCAAATGTGCCTAAGACCTCTGAAGAGGAACAGCCTGAGGAACAGAGAGCAGATGAAACTAGTCCCTGTAAAATTCCTGGGCCTGATGGGAGGATGAGGTCCACTCAATCCCTCATTGTGAGTCAAATCCCATGACAGGATGCCTGACAGAACTCCTCAGGAGTGGTCCTGGAAAAGCACTTTGAGACGCCTGGCCATTATTGTGAACAAGGTCGGGTTATATGCACTCAGGTGGAAAGATCTCAAAAATCTTTCCTAAGGAATGTGCTGTGTATGGATGATTTTCAGTCACTGAAGCTGAAGGAAGCGGCCAAGGCAGAACATTCTTCTCTGGGTTATGCATTTATACAATGTCACATTCCTTCACAAAAGCATGTGCTAGATTCATAAATAGGAAAAGGAAAGAACTATTAGAGAGTACTGCTATTTAGTAGACTCCTAAGACCATATTTATGTAATCTTTCTGGTTGTCTAAAGTTAGTAATTTATTAACCGGTTTCCACAGGAAAGGAGGGGGTCCTTTTCCAGAGATTCAGGTGCAACATATCCCTTCACATTACCCAGGGTGATGGCAGGCTGCCCCAGATGTTGTAGTATCCTCAGGACCTCTTCCCTCTCTTGCACTAACACCAGGTTCTGCCAACTCAAGATCCTGGTTCAACCTTGTAATTGTGCCTCTCCCCTAGAAATCTAAATTTAAGTGTCTCTATTTCAGGAATGGTGAGAAAGAAGGGAGGGTAACACCAATTTGAGACTCAGGGCTATAGATTCTAAACAGTGGGAGAAGGAGCCCCTGGCTCACAGCACTTTCCCAGGCACCTTGTGGCCAGGTCCAAAACTGCACAGGGTAAGGGGAATGATGATTGCATTACCCAGAAAGGGTGACACCTACTCTGCAATCCCTAATCCAGGGACACAAGCAATGCCACAAGTAAATCCTCCCTTCCAGTTGAGATAAATGTAAAAATATCAAACAGAGGAGAATTTTGGATACCCTAGTGAGAACAAAAAATTAGGGTTGTGGGGCTGGAGATGTGGCTCAGCGGTAGCGCGCTCGCCTGGCATGCGTGCGGCCCGGGTTCGATCCTCAGCACCACATACCAACAAAAATGTTGTGTCCGCCGAGAACTAAAAAAAAATAAATAAATATTAAAAATTCTCTCTCTCTCTCTCTCTCCCCCCTCTCTCACTCTCTCTTTAAAAAAAAAAAAAAAAAATTAGGGTTGTACTACTGCCCAGGGTTATCCAGGCAGTTTCCGCTCTCTTAAACGGTAGTTAAGTATAGAACAACTGGAACTATCTTCATAGTTGAGGGCTTTTTCACAAAGGCACAATCCTTTTATAAACAATATTATTCATAAAAGTTGCTATTAGAAATCTAAGTTACAAGTGTAAGGGGAAAACAGGGCACAGTGACGCACATCTGCCATCCCAGTGACTCAGGAGATGTAGTCAGGAGGATCACAAGTTCAAGTCTAGCCTGGGCAACTTAGTGAGACCCAGTCTCAAGAAAAAAAAAAAAAATAAAAAGGGCTGGGGATAGAACTCAGTGGTAAAGCACCCCCAGGTTCAATATCCAGTATCGTAAAAATACACAAATAGTTAATTTTTTTTTTAAAGGGCTGGGAATATAGCTCAATGGTAAAGCTCCCCAGTACCAAAAAAAAAAAAAAAAAAAAAGTAGAAGGGCAGCAAAAGTTAACATTAAGTAAAACAAAATGACAAGTTATTAAGAATGCAGTGAGCTATATTCCATGTTCTTTGTATTTTAGAATCATTCATAAATGTAAAACAGAGGAGGAAAAAACAACAAATTCCACAATTCCACATATGGTTTCTTCACAAGGCTGGCAAGAAAGACTGGTTATTCAGAACTCTCTCAGGGTGAGGTGCCTCCAGGGTCATCCTGAAGCATCCATCTGAAACTGAAGGCCAGTGTAGAGGTTGCAATGTGTGGAGGCACTTTTGAACTGAGATTGATTGTATACCCACAGCCAGGACTTCTTCTGAGCTGTCACAACCCTGCACAGCCCCCGCCCACTGCCTCCTGGGTCCCACCTCAGTAACCTGGTTGCTACCATCAGCCTTTGTTTCTTTGCTTTCTCTTAAAGCAAAGAGAAAAACCCAAGTCAGGTAAATCTGTGACAATGTTACTGTGGTTCTATAACAATATTACTGTTTATTAAAAAAAAAAAAAAGAACAAAAATCTAATTTATATATTAAAACAAACAAAAATCAAGAGACTTTTTTTTTTTTAAAGGATTAATTGTTGGGCTGGGGCTGTAGCTCAGTGGCAAAGTGCTTGCCTAGCATGCATGAGGCACTGGGTTCAATCCTCAGCACCACATAAAAATTAACAAATAAAGGCATTCTGTCCATCTACAACTACAAAAAATTTTTTAAAAAAGCATTAATTGTTAACAAAAAATGTCTGAAAAGATACTAACTTTCAATCTCAGGAACACAAAAACTTCCTTGGGACAGGAGAATAAAGAATGTAACCTGCTAAGGCCAGGTTAGAATGAAATTAACTTGTATTTAAAAAAAACAACCACAAATCATTAGTTGTAGATGGACACAATACCTTTGTTTTATTTATCTATTTATTTGTTTGTTTGTTTGAGGTGCTGAGGATCCAGCCTAGTGCCTCACATGTGCTAGGCAAGGGCTCTACCACTGAGCTACAATCCCAGCAAGAGATGTTTTGAGATGGGTCTCACTATGCTGCCTAGGCTGGTCTCAAACTCTGAGGCTCCAGCAATCCTCCTGTCTCACATCTCCTAGGTGCTGGAACTACATAAGTATGCCATCACGCCCACTAAGAGATGCTTTATAAAGTTTTCATCTACAAAATCAGGTTTAGACATTCTAGACACACTCCTGGTGGTCTGCTGCGGAAGCCAGTCTAGAAGACTCCAGTGGCCTTTATAGCAGGAGACAGACACTAGGAAGAAGCCTGGGAGCACTTCCCAGGAAGAATGCTACCTGCATTCAGGTGGCCTAGCTCTTAGTTCCACAACAGTTGGCCTTCCCAAGAGAAACATGGTAATTTAACAAGCAACAGCAGAACATACTCACTGTTGAAAAAGAGCCCTCGCCAAGAATTTTCCCAAACTTGAAGTCTTCGGGCCGTTTCTTGCGAGGCTGTGGTGGCTGGGCAGTGTGCTGCAGGGGGTTGGTGCTTGGCCGGGACTCAGCTGTAGTACTGTCCATGGTGGGGCCCTGCCTACCGCCACTGCTAGGAATGCCAGGAGCAGAGCCGGACTCAGTCTGGGTCCTCACCATTGATGGAGACGGGCAGGCACATAATACCACACTGGACTGAATGGGAACAGCGTCATACTGTGGACACAGAGGAGAAAGGTAAGACAAATGGTTCACTGTCCAGCACACATGGACTGAAGTCTGACCTTCTTCAGTCCTCTGGGGCTGCCACCCTCTCCCCTGCTCACACCAGCCACCACTCCTCAATTCTCTCTCAGTGCTGCATGAGTCTCCAACCAACTCTCTAAGGCCAAACTAAGGCAACCAAAGACAGCACTGTGAATTTTAATTATGGGGGATGAGCAGATAAGAGCAGTGATTAACTGTGTTTACAATACACAGAGACACCCAATGCTGGCAAGACTATGATAGAGCAAGCACATTCATATCCGTACTGCAGCTGGCACCAAAAACCGGTGTGGCTTTTAAAATTATTTTGGAAAGCAATTAGACAAATGTCAACAAAACAACAACAGAACAGTTGTCAATGAGACACTGAAACATGAAAGCCTCAGGGGGAACACAGTTAAAAATGGAAGTGGGCACTGAGAAAATCAGATAAGTGTTTGAAGTTAAATCTGCAGTATGTGAAAATTGCACTCATGCTCAGAAAAACTCCTTCCCCCGCTCTGCCCCTCATGTTCTCACAATGATGACACAGGCCCACTTATTACTAGACTGTGATATAAAATACAAAATGAACTTGGAGTACCCAGGTGCAGGTCTCCATACTCCTGCCCACTAAAGAACCTAGGAGGGCACCTGACTTGTTTCAATGTGCTTCTAAAAAATCAAATGTGCTGCATCTGAAAATCAAAGTCTCCCCAACTGTCCCCATAGGATAGAAGGACAGGACAGCAGCCTGCCAGGTTGTAACTGGCCAACACATGGCCCTTTCAAACACTAAAAACAAACTGATCAGAATAACCTGAAACTGACCATGGGTAGTGGACCATACCTATAATCCAAGCAACTGGGGAGGCTGAGGCAGGAAGATTACAAATTCAAGGCCAGGCTCAGCAACTTATTGAGATCCTATCTTAAAATAAAAATAAAAATTAAAAAGGATGTAGCTCAGTGGTAGAGCAGTCATATGCAAGGCCCTAGGTCAGTACCCAGCACCAGCCCCCTGAAAAAGGCTGAAGACAACTGAATGCTAAATTTTCATAATTCAAATAAAAAAGGGAGTGTGGACACACAGCTATTTCTTAAACTGTTTGCACATCTGTTTATAAGGACAGACAAGGATTTTTCTCTTTCCATATAAACAGGGAATGATATACAGAGAAGAAGCAGCCAGGGCTCCAGAAAGGTAGTAAACATTCCAAACACAGGAAAGAAAAGTGGGGGAGAGGGATTGGGGAGATTGAAGTGCAATCAAATTCCATGCCTGTATGAGTTTGTCAGGATGAACCCAATTACTAATGTGTAACTAATTTTTAAAAAACAAACAAAAAAGACAAGAAACACAGGTGGACCCACGATAATCAAGAGTGAGCCACAAGACAACAGTTCAGCCACCAAAAGCAAGAAAAGGTGGTCAGTCAACCCACACCTATAATCCTAGCCACTCAGGAGGCTGAGACAAGACGATCAGGAGTTCAAAGTCAGCTTCAGCAACAGTGAGGTGCTAAGCAACTCAGTGAGACCCTGTCTCTAAATAAAATACAAAATAGGGCTGGGGATGTGGCTCAGTGTTGAATGCCCTTGAGTTCAATCCCTGATACCTAACCCCCAACCAAAAAAAAGAGAAGAGGTACACATCTTGATAACCATGAAATGCACAAAAAAGACAAACAAATTTATTAATACAACTAATAAAAGTAGCCTCAATTTAGATGTCCAAGAGGATGCATTGTTTCCTTAAAACCCCAAAAATGTGCTGGGCACAGTGGCTCATGCCTGTAATATCACCAGCTTGGAAGGCTGAGGCAGAATTGCAAGTTCAAAGTCAGCCTCAGCAACTTAGCAAGATCCTGTTTTATAATAAAAAATAAAAAGCCTAGGGGTTTGTCTCAGTGGTTAAGAGCCCATGGGTTCAATCCCTGGTACTAAAAAAAAAAAAAAAAAAAAAAAATTCATCTATAATTCCAGCCACTCAGGAGACCGAGGCAGGAAGATCACAAGGTAAATGCCAATTCTGGCAACTTAGTGAGATCCTGTCTCAATATAAAAAATAAATAATATATAAAGGCCGTTAGAACAGATGCTCACAAGAAAGCACTGCCCTCAAAGGGGGAAGTGTGTACCTAACCTGGGCTCAGCAAGCCCCTCGTCCAGGCACCAAAACTAGGTGGTATGACCCCACAACTCCCATACTCCATGAYAGTTGCCAGCCAGACCGGTGGAGGGTGTTACTAGAAACCACAGGGATGAATTGACAGCATGACTTGTCCCAACAGACTCCAAGACATCAGGTAGAACCGACATGAGAGGAAGTAGAGCATCACTGCCACATTGCTAACATCTGTCCACAAAGGAGAGTAAGCACCATGGAAAACACATGTGTGAAAAGACTAGAGGTGCCATCAGAGCTGAGATTCAAAGGACAGGAAGTGTGTTTTGCTATTACTGGTGTTGGGGGATAGCTGAGTAAGACTCAACTGAGTCAAAAAGACAACCATGGTGGCATTTCAGAGCAGCTGTTTTCACTATGGGTGTGCCACTCCATGTTGACCAGTTTTGATGCAGAGGACTTCAAACCCTGGGCCCAAAACCACTTGATTAGGCTAGATGTGCCGCCAAAACTCCTTCCTTCCAGAGGACTGCATGTGCTCAGTACATAAGCAATGGGTGTGAGAGCAGGCAACTGCCTGGCTAGTCATGGGCACAGTCCTAGGGCTGCCTCTCCTGTGGCTCATGTTGGGAACTGCTGGGCACAGGGCCATGCTAAAGCCAGGAGAGATGCAGTGCTACTCACATCACCAGGAGGGCTCAGTCCAAAGAACTTAGGTGTCCTGGCACATATTCTATTGCAGAATCTCTCAATCAGAGCAGTTTTGCACCCCCTGGTGAGACTTGGCAAAAACTAGAGACATTTTGGGTTGTCATACTTGGGGGAGGAAATAAGTATTATTAGCATCTAGTGGGCAGAGGAAGGGACTCTGCTAAACATCCTAGAATGAAGATAACGCCCCCACAACAAAAAATTATCAGACCCAGGGGTTGACAGTTCCTACTGAGAACCCTGCTCCAGACTCACAGACTCTGCCCGACCCTAGGAGATCTTCAGCAGCCCCTCCAGAGCTCAGCTACGCCCAGGGACAGGATCACCAGGATCCTCAGAGAGGATAAGGTGTGTCTTCAGTCTGAGAAGAGCCTTAAAAATCCCAATACAATGTTTTGGGAATGACAAAACTTAGTTTTGTGATACAAACAGCATAAAATGGTAGTGAGATTCCCATCAAGGGCTGTAACTTCAAGGTGAGAGACACTGAACAGGGGAAGAACAAGCATAACACCAAGCACACTTAAGGAACCCAAGAGCCTACAAGCCCATAGGAGGGAGGGTAGGAGTGGCTCAAGAGGGTGCAAAAGCAGTGGGGGGAAAGCCTCAGGAACTGAGCCCACATAGAGGCTGAGGTGACCTAGCTGCTTCCTCAGCAGCAGAGGATGAGGCACACCAAACCAGCAAAGATGCCATGAACCTGAAGGTGTGGGTAGAAGCTGTCCTCCTTATGAGAGTTGGCATGCCATCCCCTCCCCACCAAGTGGAAAGGCACCCAGGGCCGTGTCTGAGGAAACGCCACCCAGGCGCCAGTATTTGTCTGGTCCAATTTCTCTTGGACTCCTGGCTTAGCTGGTCACAACACAGGTTTTGGCTGGAACTCTGCTTGACAATGCTGTTTCCAAATGCCAGCCTTTGACATTTCACTTGCTGTAAGATTATACCCAATAATTTCTGATTTTTTTTTTTTWAAAACTAACAAAGCAAACTCTCAGCATGAAATAGGGATGAAAAGAACACCAAGGAACCCAAGTCCGGCTACTATGAAGAACACACTGTTTATTCCATGGTACAGCAAGCTGCTACAGAACAGGAACACAACCAGCCAGACAACTAGAACAGGAGAAACACTAAGTCCATGTGACCTGTAGCCATCAGAGCCCACCCTGAGCAGCTGTTTCCTGCAGGGGGGAGTCACCTTCCACAGACAGAGCCATTACCCACCCAGTAGACACAGCAGCAGGTAAAGGAGCTTTTCCCATGAGTCTTTGATGAGCACTGCACCCTGAGGGTGATCCATATACCATGACAGTCAGTGGCTAGACAAAGAGTACATTCCATACACTTCCCAGAGCCTGTTTCAAGAGAGCGGTTTCAGCCCAGGTCTTTCTCAACTATAAACATCCATGTACCCAATGCTAACTCTTTCCTTTAAAATACTTGACATAAAATACTTGACAATGTCACTCAGCTAAAGTACAATTTTTTTTCAGTTGTAGATGAACACACAGTATCTTTATAATTTTTTTTTAATGTGGTGCTGAGGATCGAACCCAGTGCCTCACATATGCTAGGCAAGTGCTTTACTACCACTGAGTTACAACTGCAGCCCCCCCCCCAAAGTACATTTCCAATGAAAAGTCTTAAGGCGTCAATAAGCCTCTCCTTGAAGGCAAACATGGCACCTTAATATAAATCAATATAAACTAGTTAGTTGTCTGTCTTTGCTGTGGACTTCTGTCTGAAACCATCAACAGGTCATGGGAAGGTGCAGAATGCTCTAGAGCCTGAGCTAAGTCAAGCTGCTTCTGTTTCATGGGCATGAAGTAAAAGGCAACAACCAGGTTAACGAGATGCAGGAGTGAGGTAGAATGGCAGGGCAGGAATGGGGAGTGGGGAGCACCTACAGCCATCGTCTTCCTCCACCTAGGATTTCTGTACTCATCCTCAGGAACCTACCCCCCAGGCCCTTCAACCACCCTCAGCAGGCACATTTATGTTCTTTGTACAGCTCATAGCTCATAGCAACTTCACATTCACAGCCCTAGAAGGCTTAAGAAGAGATCCAGGACCTTTAGCACACCCAGCTATATCTAGCCCAGGATATGGAATGACTTCTGAAGGTACACCA